CGAGGGCAACGAGTGACGAGCTGACGAGGGCAAGACAAGACAAGGACAAGGGCACGGACAAGGGCACAAGGAGGACATGGGAAGAAAGGGACCTCTCACGTCTGCTTTTGAGTCGACTCAAAAGGAGGACATGGGAAGAAAGGGGCCTCTCACGTCTGCTTTTGAGTCGACTCAAAAGGAGGACATGGGAAGAAAGGGGCCTCTCACGTCTGCTTTTGAGTCGACTCAAAAGGAGGACATGGGAAGAAAGGGGCCTCTCACGTCTGCTTTTGAGTCGACTCAAAAGGAGGACATGGGAAGAAAGGGGCCTCTCACGTCTGCTTTTGAGTCGACTCAAAAGGAGGACATGGGAAGAAAGGGGGCTTCGAATCTCACGTCTTTCTTGATCATGAGCTTCTTGCTGAGCACGTTCCGCGACTGGAAGGTGAGGTTGGACGCCATGACTGAGAGGTGTGACAGACTAACAAGGGCACGGACTGACAGGCTGACAAGGGCACGGACTGACAGGCTGACAAGGAGAGGAGAGGCTCTGGAAGGGACGGGCTTCGAATCTCACGTCTTTCTTGATCATGAGCTTCTTGCTGAGCACGTTTCGCGACTGGAATGTGAGGTTGGACGCCATGGCCGACAGGAAGCCCGCCCTGCATGCACAGAGAGATGCAGAGGGGTGCAGAAGGGGGCAAAGGGGTTGGTAGGGTGTTTGGATACAAGGAGAGGTTCGATGCCATGGCGGACAGGAAGCCCGCCCTGCACACAGAGAGATGCGCAGAAGAGGAATTGTGGAAGGGGGCAAAGGGGGCACACATGCGAGTTGAAGGAGGGTTCGGTGACAGAGGCGAGCAAGGAAGCAAGTAAACGGAACGGCTCAGCATGGCATGGCACAGCATGGCACGCCACGGCACATACCAGTTGAAGGAAGCTTCGGTGGCTGAAGCGAGAGAGGAAAACTGGCACAACTCGTCATGCATGGCACGACATGGCTCAGCACAGCACAGCACAGCACAGCACCGAACTGCACCGAACTGCACCACACGGTACACACCAGTTGAAGGAAGCTTCGGTGGCAGAGGCGAGCGCCACACCTCCCACAATGGGCATGAGGGCGAGGATGACTGGCAGCGTGGGTTGCTGGAGGGGTGGAGAGGAGTGGGGAGGGGTAAAGGGAGGTTTGAGAATGTTGAGAACTCTAAGTGCCACGCCTCACACGATGGGCATGACCGCGAGGATGACAGGCAGCGTGGGTTGCTGGAGGGGTGTGAAGGAGTGGGGAGCGGTAAAGGAAGGTTCGAGACGTTTGAGATTTCTAAAGCGCCAACACATGCCACCTTACCCACACCCACCCCAAAGCCCCCCTCACCCAATCCCGCCCCAATTTCCCGCCCCCCTTCCCCCGACTCCCCCCCCCCCCCCCCCCCTTTTTCCATTCTCCCGCCCCCCTTCCCTTTTCCCCAACTCACCTCGCCGAGCAGCAGTGCGGAAAGAGTGACGGAGAAGAGTTCACGCACACCATCAAGGCCCGAGCGCCTTGATGGAGTGCGAGAACGACACGGCCACCTTGCCTCCTTGCCCACACTCGCGCATCCCCCTTCCCTTTCAACCCATCCTTGCTCAATTCCCTTCGCCTCCCCCCCTCCAGCGACTCACCTCGCCTAGGAGCAGAGCGGAGAGCGTGACGGAGAAGAAGGGCTCGAGCGCCTTGATGGTGTGCGTGAACGACACGGCCACCTTGCCCAGGCTGACATTGGTGAAGGCGTTGCCCATGGTGTGCACGAGGGCGAGAGGGAGGATGGCCAGCAGCTGCGGGGTAGGGGGGAATCAAGAAGGGGTATATCGGGTGTATGGGGTGACGGGGACGGGAGATGAGTGGACGACACGGCCCAGAGAGCCAGGCTGACGGGGACGGGAGATGAGTGGACGACACGGCCCAGAGAGCCAGGCTGACGGGGACGGGAGATGGTGAAGACGTTGCCCATGGTGTGGACCAGGGCTAGAGGCAGGATGGCCAGCAGCTGGGGGTACATGGGGTGATGAGGATGGGAGGGATGGGGGGGATGGGGGGGATGAGTGAACAACACACGGCGACCTTGCCCAGACTGACATTGGCGAAGGCGTTGCCCATGGTGTGAACCAGGGCTAGAGGCCGGATGGCCAGCAGCTGGGGAGTAGGGAGGGAGGGGATTGAAGGGGATATGGAATAGCGGGAAAAACGGAACTGCCATGTAAGCAGATGGGACGAGTAGTTACGGGACGAGGCGATGAGGAGAGAAGGGATGAGGAGGCGTGTTGTCTTGCACCTCTCTTACCTGCGCTTTGGAGATGGTTGGACGCTTGACGATGTTGGTGGCCCACGACAGCAGCATCACGATCGCCGTGCCTTTCAAGCCCACCCAAAGGTCACCTGTCACCCCTGCGCGAGCGTCTCCCCTGCGCGCGCGTCACCCCTGCGCGCGCGTCTCCCCTGCGCGAGCGTCTCCCCTGCGCGCGCGTGTTTCTCACCTGCGCTTTGGAGATGGTGGGGCGCTTGACGATGTTGGTGGCCCACGACAGCAGCACCACGATGGCGCCGATGGCGAATTGCACCGTCGTGATGGTGAGCGGGTACGGGAACACCTTGAGCACCTGCACGGGAGACGGAAAGCAGTATGGTACAAAAATAAGCGTCTTCTTCAAACGACGCTAATAGCGAATTGCACCGCCGTGATCGTCAGCGGGTACGGGAACACCTTGAGCATCTGCAAATGGGGAGAAGAGCGGTAAGGCCGTGTGACATGGAATTAGCAGACTCTTAAGCCACTTTGAGAGTATTGCACTGTCGTGATGGTGAGCGGGTACGGGAACACCTTGAGAACTTGCATGGGAGGAGAAACGCGGCACGTCATTATCATTACTTGAATTAAAAGGTTGAAATGGCCTGCCACGGCATTCAGAGCTTGTAGATGAGGGAGACATGGTAAGACCAGGGATAAAAGAGACGCGGAATAATGTGGTTGTATCACGGACGCCACCGAAATTGCTAAAGTAAAACACCCGTACACGGACTGAGTGGCGACATATTGTGAAAATTTGACTGCCTCCGGAGCAATTTTATAAACTCAATAATCTGCATCCAGCCTCTTCGTCTCCCAAAAGCACAATCCGACATCTCCGAATCCACATTGTAGTTAATCGGTTTGTGAAGATGTCAATTCAACAGATATAAAAATCGCGAGTGTTGTGAATTGGAAACGGATATCACATTTCCTCAATTAGATAAATCGCCTCGCTGTAAACGACATTAGGCACAATTTCGCGACAGACCATACCTGCTTGTTGTAAATGTTGAAGTAGATGTTAAAGAGGTACCACAGCCCGAACAGCGATCCCAGCTGAATCGTTTTCGTCAGCTGGCTCTTCGCATCGCCTGCTTCCGCCGTTTCGCCATCGCCGCTCCGCGACACAACCGCTGCTCGCTTGCTGCACGAAGCCTCGCGATTCTCGATCGCTGCTTCCGAGCGTAAGAGCGAATGGCGATGCCGCGAGGTGGAAGAAGAATTGTCAGAGAAGGCTGCTGTGGGTCGCAATGCTGGCGAGGGGAGAGCTTTTGCGCTTCGACAAGAAACAGCTCTTAGTGGAGCATTTTTCACCGTGCTTAGGAAGGAAATTTGAGCGTGCTGTTGCTTGGTCGTTGAAACTGCACACGGTGATACTCCGACTGCAGCTGTTGCGGACGACGCAACGCGTAACGTAGCCATGGCGATTCAAGCAATTAGCACGGGAATTATAGAATCTCACGGTAGAAAAGAAATCGCACCAGAGCAATGCCCCTAATTGCCCTATGCCAAGCAATGCCCCTAATTGCCCTATGCCAAGCAATGCAGAAACCAGCACAATGCCAGAAGATGAAAATTCTAGATGCTGGTCACTGGCAGCCTGCCTTTACTAGATTCTGCAATTTCTGCTCACTGCTCAAGTCTGCTTCCTCTTGTGGTGTGTCATAAGCCTCTACTTCAGTGCGGTTGAGTCGGTTTCCTGCATTTTAAGACGGGCTGTGTCCAAGACAGAACGGTTCGATGGGTTTCCGAGAGAATCTGGCTCTCGCCACGCCCTCCTGGGGGACCATCTGGTCAGACATACAGACAATCGGGAAGCGATGGGAAAAGCGCGGGGAGGAGGGGAGAGGCTGGGGAGGTGCGGGGAGGGGGAGGGGAAAGGAGGAGGTGGCGGAGGTCGCAGTACTTGCCGATTGGCTGACGCAGATCTCGTTCCCGCCTTTTCTCAAGGCACGGGAACCTTGGAAACAAGGCTGCATGTCGACGTGAACCTCAGGGATTATTATTTTAGTTTCCCGAATAAAGAATTTTCTGGCATAATTTTGTTATTTCTTCGTGTGGAAAGTTGGTGCAGAGGAATATAGAGCTTATAAGTTGTTCAATAAGACATATCCTGCTTCCCAGATACATATCGTGGAAAAGTAAAAGAAAGGGGCTGCCCTGCCACATGCCTTTTAAATGCGACTCGCGCCAAAGTCCGCCACGGATTGGACGGAAATATCGCATGCGGCCGAGTGAATCCAGCTACCACGTGCTATCGCGTGCGGATAAACACCAATGGCTGCATGCCATGCGGCTGGCGATGTTATCCACCAGTAACATCCTGCTCATCACCCACGTCATGCCAAGCAGCTTGGAACAAAATACAGTCATTGCGAAGACGCAAGCATACGTTCATCAAAGTGTAGGAACAGTTTGTCTTGTAACGAAGTGCACTCAATTGAGCCAGATAATGTCAAGCACCCCCCTAGGCAAACAAATGGCAAAACCACAGCTAATTTGCTGCTTCTATCGCCCCACTTAGCTTCTGTGGCTGATCAACTTTTGCATTGCAGCTAGGTCATAAAAGCAGTTACTGCAATGGTTCCCTGCTGCGGTCGCTGAGGACATCCTATTTCGAAACATTGTCTGATTTGGGTAGTAGCTGCGGTCCGTGTGGGTCTCCCAGTAGTGACATTACCGAGGGGCAAGATGAGGATAGTGATAGAGGTGGATGTGAGTGCGGAGGAGATTCCTCTCGCGACGCATCTATTCAGCGCCCTCAGGTGAGTGATGCCACGTGGCAGCGCACGCATCCAACACGTGGCAGCACGAGCCACCACCTTGTAGCGCCAGAGCATTTGGCACGCCAATGCGTCATTTCGCACCTTCCCCGCGTGCCTGTCCCCATTTCCACCCGCCCCCTTTCCTCCGCGGCTTGGCGCGCAGTGGCATGACAACTACGCCTCCTCCGTTTGACCATATCCCCGCCCATCTTCCCCCGGACTCCCCCGCGCACCCACCCTGGCCAGGGCAATTGCGGACGATGTGCGCGCGCGCAATTTGCGCCCCGTGTTCGAGGCGCTGATTGCGCGCCTGCGCGACCCCGCGGAACTTGATTCGGTTGCGCGGGACGTGCGCACGCTGCTGGGGGAAGGCGCAGGAGTGGGGGAATCAGGGGAGAAAGGGGGCGTGCGGGGAAGTGGGGGCGGGAGCAAGAGCGGAAGCGGAAACGGGGAAGAGAAAGAAGGGGCCGCGGATGGGGCGAAGGCCAATGAGGTTTGTGCTTGTGATTATAACGGGAGGCATCAATTACATCCCCCATGCGTTTGCGTGTCGTCCCATTCCTTCTACACTTTCGTTGCAGCATTCAATGCTTCAACCCCAAACCCAGAATCACAGAATCCCCCAACTCGGTGACTGAGATCTGATCTCCACCATTCATTATTGCTTCAACTAGTAACCTTAAACCTTCAAATTCTGAACTCTGCCTTTAAATACTCTGCCTCAAATATTGCATGCCTGGTTACCACAAGGCTCCTGGATGCTTCTGTCATGGCATTCCTGCACGTGGTGTTTGACACAAAAACTCACATGTGCTTCAATTCAATGCAAAACCCAAAACTCTGCCTGTCTGGTTACCACTGCCCCACAGGACCCCCTGGATGCGTTCGTGGCAGCGTTCCTGCACGTGGTGTTTGAAACAGACCTGCTGGCTCAGAAGATCAGCGTTGTGCCCTTCATGCGTCTAGTGCCCAGGTAAGTGCGTTAGTGGGGTGAGAGTGTGCGGTGAGTGAGTGCAGTGCGGTGAGTGTGGCAGCATTCCTCCACGTGGTGTTTGAGACGGACCTGCTTGCTCAGAAGATTAGTGTTGTTCCCTTCATGCGCCTCGTGCCACGGTGAGTGTGGGAGTGAGTGAGTGAGGGGTTACTCTATCTCCTAAGGACAACCAGTCACCAGTAGATGCATGCATGTATGCCTGCACGCTCTCTCAGAAGCTCAGCGTTGTGCCCTTCATGCGTCTAGTGCCCAGGTAAGTGTGTGAGTGGGGTGAGAGTGTGCGGTGAGTGAGTGCAGTGCGGTGAGTGTGGCAGCGTTCCTGCACGTGGTGTTTGAGACGGACCTGCTCGCTCAGAAGCTCAGCGTCGTGCCCTTCATGCGCCCCGTGCCATGGTGAGCGCGCTTAGTGCGGTGGGTGTGTGAGTGAGCGTTCTCTCTGATAGATACTAACCACCTAGAGCACACATGCATGCTGATGCTGTGTGCACGCACCCTCAAAATGATGATCTTGTGTAATTCAAAAAGTAGTACTTTTCTGCTGCGAAAGCAGGTGAGTTCCTGCTTATCGGCCAGCACCACGGTGTGCTACCGTGCTTCATTCCCCTTCTGCCTGCCTGTCTTTGTGTGGCTGGCAGGTTACCCGACACGGCAAAGGTCAAGATGAGAGACACGCTTATCCCCAAGGTAGGGGCTGGTGGGTGCTGGTGGGTGCTGGTGGGTGCTGGTGGGTGCTGGTGGGTGCTGGTGGGTGCTGTACACTACAGAGTGTATAGAGAGTACATACACGCACATACGTGCGTGGCCAGCAGGTTACCTGATGCTACAAAGGTCACACGCTTATCCCCAAGGTACGTGCTGGTGGGTGCTGTCCAGTTCCGTGTCATGCTGACAGCCACTATGCTTGGGTCACCTTTGGGAATTCTCAAAAGTGACACATTATGCTGCCAGCAAGTCACGAATTCTCTTGTTCCAAACATGGAATATGTACCTTGAATGTTGACGCCTATATCCTCTTCCTCATCTGCCACAAACGCAATCCACAGATCCTCAAGTTCCTGACGATAAAGCGGCCGCCCGACGCCAGCCGGGCGGAGTTCTTTGTCCATGCTGAGGCGTTTGCCGCCCTCGTGCACCTCGAGTTTGTCTCCATTCAGGGTGAGCTGGCATTCAGGGTGAGCTGGCATTCAAGGTGAGCTGGCATTCAAGGTGAGCTGGCATTCAAGGTGAGCTGGCATTCAGGGTGAGTTGGCGTGATTGCGGACTGTATCCTGATGGATGGTGGTATGCCACGCAGTTGACACGAGAAACTGCCTGCATGATATACCACCCCATCGAAGCTTGTCAAGGCTTGTCTCTTGCAAGAGACAACAACCTGTATGCAATGCAGTGAGTCGACTCAAAAGTGCCCTTCATCATGTATGCAATGCAATCCCACCAGGTGCCGTCACCACCATCCTCACATTGCTGCACAAGCCAGACAACCGCTGCACTGCAATCAGGCCTCAACTTCCCGTCCCTGTCACCTCACTTCCTCTTCCTTCCCACCATCCCACCACATATGCAACCCCTCCAGGCGCCGTCACCACCATCCTCACATTGCTGCGCAAGCCAGACAACCGCTGTGCTGCAGTGACCATGCTGGGGAAGACTGTCGAGCTCTGCGCTCCCCAGGTGAGACTAACACTCCCTCATCCCATGTGCTCGCAGCAGCAGCAGCACAGCCACACAACCACGAACCGCCATGCAAGCCGGGCAAGCCAGGCAACCGCTGCGCCGCAGTGACCATGCCGGGGAAGACCGTTGAGCTCTGCGCTCCCCAGGCAGGTAAGACTCCCATGCGCCCTTGTGCCCTTGAGGTCGCAACCCTCTCTGCTATGCAAGCATGCTGCACAAGCCGGACAACCGCTGTGCTGCTCTCACCATGCTGGGGAAAACCGTGGAGCTCTGCGCCCCGCAGGCTAGAGAGTGAGACTAACACCCCTCCATGTGCCCTTGAGATAACATCCCTCTCTGCTATGCAAGCTTGCCGGACAAGCCAGACAACCGCTCTGTGCTGCCGTCACCATGCTCAACCGTGCCTTCCCCTACATTCCACACATGGCCTTTCCCCATCCAATCAGACTTCTGAGACGTCTCAAAAGTTGCTGCCTGGGGAGGAGCGGAGGAGAGGTGCATTAGAAGGTTCAACCCTGCCTTCCCCTAGATTCCACACACACCTTCCCCCCCCCCCCACCAGATGGGGGCTCAGCTCAGGGCGATGCGGGCAATATGATTTCTGAGGTGCGTCAAAAGATGAGTCAGATTCCTTCCCAGCCCTGCCTTTCCCAGATTCCCAGCCCTGCCTTTCCCAGATTCCCAGCCCTGCCTTTCCCAGATTCCCAGCCCTGCCTTTCCCAGATTCCCAGCCCTGCCTTTCCCAGATTCCCAGCCCTGCCTTTCCCAGATTCCCAGCCCTGCCTTTCCCAGATTCCCAGCCCTGCCTTTCCCAGATTCCCAGCCCTGCCTTTCCCAGATTCCCAGCCCTGCCTTTCCCAGATTCCCAGCCCTGCCTTTCCCAGATTCCCAGCCCTGCCTTTCCCAGATTCCCAGCCCTGCCTTTCCCAGATTCCCAGCCCTGCCTTTCCCAGATTCCCAGCCCTGCCTTTCGTTCCATTCCACACACGCCCTTTCCCCATCCAATCAGCTCGTGGCTCAGGGCGACCCGGGCAAAATGAAGGAGTTACGAACCTGTTGCAGTGACTCCCCTTGTGCTCCTTCCAAGCCCACCCACCAACCCTCGTCCAAACCCTCACCTTTCCCAATCAGCTCGTGGCTCAGGGCGACCCGGGCAAGATGGAGGAAACGAGAGTTGCTGCAATGGCAACCCCCTTTGCTTCTCTCATCTCCACCTGCCCACCCGCCCACACGCCCACCTGCCCACCTGCCCACCTGCCTGCCCTCCTGCCCCTCCCTTTCCTTGTACTCAACCCCTTCCCTTCTTCCCTATCCAATCAGCTAGTGGCTCAGGGCGACCCGGGAAAAATGGAGGAGTTGAGGAAAGCAGTCCTGGGACTCAAGGAAGAGGCTTTCTGGTGAGAGGGGGAGAGATGGTGGGTGAGAGGCGAGAGGGAAGGGTGGAAAGGCTCTCAGGGCGACCCACCCGGGCAAGCTGGAGGAGTTGAATCGTGTTTTGAGTCGACTCAAAACTGGAGGAGCTGCGGAAAGCAGTTTTGGGACTCAAGGAAGAGGCTTTGTGGTGAGAGGGGGAGGGAAGAAAAGGGGTGGGGGTGAGGGGGGGTATGGGTATTTGGGTTAGCACAGCTCTGAGCGGTCTCAAAGGCAGGAGTAACATAGGCAATGGGGTGTGTGCTGCAGTAGTGAGCTCATTTGTAGGTAGGTAGGTCGATCGAGTATGGGGGGCAAACATGCCTCTCCTCCCCATGGAAAATAGCTAGCTACCACGTCAGTTATGTGAGAGGGACAGCCGTGCCTTGAGAATCACTTATGAGAATTCTCAAAAGAGGGACACCCCTGAGAATTCTCAAAAGAGGGACACCCCTGCCTTGACTAGTGCCATCTCACTTGACTAGTGCCATCTCACCAACACCCACCGCCTCTGCCGCTCCCATCCTCCCCTCCCATCCTCCCCTCCCATCCTCCCCTCCCATCCTCCCCTCCCATCCTCCCCTCCCATCCTCCCCTCCCATCCTCCCTCTCTCCATCCAGCTACGATGTCAATTACGTGAGGGACAGCCTCGGTTGGACAGACAACCCAATCGCCACCTCTCCTGCTCCTGCCGCTACAGCCGCTCCTCCCGCCATTCCCCCTGCTACAGCCGCACTTTCTGCCGGTGCTGCCGCTACAGCCGCTCTGGCAGCAGCAGGATCCTCCCCTGCTCCCCTTTCCGCCCCCCTTCCCCCATCTCACGCCCCCCTTCCTCCCTCTCAGGCCCCGCTCCCCCCGCCTCAGCCTCCCCTGCCCCTAGCCCAGCCTTCCACACAGTCCCCTATGGCTGTTACCGCCCCTGCTCCCCTCAACCCTCCTGTGTCAACAACCCATCAGATGCAAAGGCAGGGGCTGGGGCAGGGGCAGGGGCAGGGGCAGGGGCAGGGGCAGGGGCAGGGGCAGGCAGGTTTGGGAGGGGTAGGAGCAACGACAGCAGGAGGAGGAGGGGGGGGGGAACAGCTGATGCAGCCACAACAGCAGCAACAACAGCAGTTACAGTTGCAGCTGCTGCAGCAGCAGCAGTTGCTGCAGTCACAGTTGCAAGCAGTGCAACAGCAAGCACAGCAGCAGCAACAGCAGCAGCAGCAGCAGCAGCCACCGCAGCACCAGCTGCAGCAGCAGCAGCAGATGTTTCAGTTACAGCAGCAGCTACAGCAGCAGATGCAGCAGGTGCAGCAGCAACTGCAGCACCTCTCTGCCTCTTCCCAGCAGCAGCAGGTGTTACCGCCACCACAGCAACTACAGCAGGCGCAGCAGCAGCAGCAGCAGCAACCACAGCCGCGACAGCAACTGCAGCAGGTGCAACAGCAGCTGCAGCAGCAGTTGGTGCAGGCTCGGCAGCAGCTGATGCTTCTTTCCGGCTCCTCCCCTTCCTCTTCCACCTCCACACTCCCTGCAACAGCAGCAGCAGCAGCAGCAGCACCACCACCACCAGCAGCAGTGGCGCCACAACCACCACCCGCACTAGCAGCAGGAGCAGGAGGAGCAGGAGGAGCAGGAGGAGCAGGAGGAGGAGGTGGTGAGGTGAAGGGCAGCGGGGCAACAGATCCCATGCAATCCTCTCCATCGCAGTCCACCGTTCCGTCTAACAACCCAAGTATGTTTCTTTGTGACTCAGTAGGCCCTTTCGAGTCAAGTACAGATCAGTCAATCCCATTCAGCCCCTCTTCCTCCTCCTCAGTCCACCGGTCCCTCTAACAGCCCATGTATGTTCCTTGGCGGTGCCTCAAATGTCATTTTTGAGTCTATGAATGATTAGTTGATGCGATGAAGTCCTCTCCTCTCCATCGCACTCCACCGCTGTCTCCAACAACCCAAGTATGTTGCCTGATGAACTCACCTTTGAATGCTGCTCGGAAACCGGAATGTTCAAGTGTTATCAGAGGAAAGGTGAGGAGTTCGAGTCCTGCTGTTGGCAGGTTGTGTGTCAGTTTCTGAGGTCGGTCGGACGATATGAGAGACTGCTATAGCATGAGCACTGCATTCACCACGCTGCACCATCATATATGCACGTCGTGACAGCTTATGTTTGTCTTTTGAGGCGCCTCAAAAGTCGTCGTGACAGCTTATGTTTGTCTTTTGAGGCGCCTCAAAAGTCGTCGTGACAGCTTATGTTTGTCTTTTGAGGCGCCTCAAAAGTCGTCGTGACAGCTTATGTTTGTCTTTTGAGGCGCCTCAAAAGTCGTCGTGACAGCTTATGTTTGTCTTTTGAGGCGCCTCAAAAGTCGTCGTGACAGCTTATGTTTGTCTTTTGAGGCGCCTCAAAAGTCGTCGTGACAGCTTATGTTTGTCTTTTGAGGCGCCTCAAAAGTCGTCGTGACAGCTTATGTTTGTCTTTTGAGGCGCCTCAAAAGTCGTCGTGACAGCTTATGTTTGTCTTTTGAGGCGCCTCAAAAGTCGTCGTGACAGCTTATGTTTGTCTTTTGAGGCGCCTCAAAAGTCGTCGTGACAGCTTATGTTTGTCTTTTGAGGCGCCTCAAAAGTCGTCGTGACAGCTTATGTTTGTCTTTTGAGGCGCCTCAAAAGTCGTCGTGACAGCTTATGTTTGTCTTTTGAGGCGCCTCAAAAGTCGTCGTGACAGCTTATGTTTGTCTTTTGAGGCGCCTCAAAAGTCGTCGTGACAGCTTATGTTTGTCTTTTGAGGCGCCTCAAAAGTCGTCGTGACAGCTTATGTTTGTCTTTTGAGGCGCCTCAAAAGTCGTCGTGACAGCTTATGTTTGTCTTTTGAGGCGCCTCAAAAGTCGTCGTGACAGCTTATGTTTGTCTTTTGAGGCGCCTCAAAAGTCGTCGTGACAGCTTATGTTTGTCTTTTGAGGCGCCTCAAAAGTCGTCGTGACAGCTTATGTTTGTCTTTTGAGGCGCCTCAAAAGTCGTCGTGACAGCTTATGTTTGTCTTTTGAGGCGCCTCAAAAGTCGTCGTGACAGCTTATGTTTGTCTTTTGAGGCGCCTCAAAAGTCGTCGTGACAGCTTATGTTTGTCTTTTGAGGCGCCTCATAAGTCGTCGTGACAGCTTATGTTTGTCTTTTGAGGCGCCTCAAAAGTCGTCGTGACAGCTTATGTTTGTCTTTTGAGGCGCCTCAAAAGTCGTCGTGACAGCTTATGTTTGTGGTAAATTCTTTTTTAAAAAGGGCTTTTGAGACCATCATATCTGCACGTCTTAAAAATTCGTCTTATGTTTGTGGAGAATCCTAAAAAAAAAAGGAAGTGCTATAGCACGAGCGCTGATTTCAATTCACCAAGCCGCACCGCACGTGCTAACCGCACTGGTATAAGCACGTCCTGGTGCAGTGCAGTTTGGTGCGGTGCATGAGCATGTCCTGACAGCGCTGGGGGGCTTTGGCTAGGTACGAACCAGCGAGCCTAGTAACTCATCCTCACCCATCTCACCCCCACGCCTTGCTCCCCGTGTGTGCCTGCCACGCTCTCTCCCATGTTCCTCGTATCAGCCATGCTGGTCCCGCTCGACTCCTACCACGGGCATCAGCACACCATCCTGGCAGGGGGGGTGTGGGACGGCAGCAGCGACCATACACACAATCATTTCAACCCATCTCCACGCCTTGTTCATACGTGTCTCCCCATACTCACAGCCATGGTGGTCCCCATGGACTTCTACCATGGGCATCAGCACACCATCCTGGCAGTGGGGGTGGATGGCAGCAGCGGGGCGACCATGCACGTGTATCACCCACCTCATCCCTGCTCCCTGCCCCCTGTGTTTGCCTCCCGTGCTCGTCGTCTCTTCCTATCAGCCATGCTGGTCCCCCTCGACTCCTACCACGGGCATCAGCACACCATCCTGGCAGTGGGGGTGGACGGCAGCAGCGGGGCCACGTGGAGTGCAGCCATGGACGGGAGTCTCATCATGTGGGGGGGTGATGGCAAGGTGCGTCTACGTTTGTGGTCTACCCAATCCGTGGACCTCTGATAATTTGAGGTGCCTCAAAAGTCCGATATTTTGAGGCGCCTCCAGGGTGCGTCTACGTTTGTGGTCTACCCAATCTGTGGAACTCTGATACCCGTCTGCCTCTGCTTGCTTCTTATCCCCTTCCCTCCCTTCTCCCCTTCCCTCCCTTCTCCCCTTCCCTCCCTTCTCCCCTCTTCCTCCTCCCCCTCCCAAATGCAGCCACGGATCGCACTACGTGTGTGGCATGGATGGACCTCCTTTACTCGCCCTGTCCGTGCGTGCTGTTCATCCCTTCTCTCTGCCTTCCTGTCTTCCTCTCTGCCTTCTCCCCTCTCCTCCCCAACACAGCCCCGTCAGTCTCTCCTGCTCGGATCGCACTACGTGTGTGGCATGGATGGACCTCCTTTACTCTCCCTCCTGTCTGACTTCGACCTGTGTTCTCCTCTTCTACTCCCCTCCCCACTCCATGCAGCCCCGTCAGTCTCTCCTCCTCGGTTCGCACTATGTGTGTGGCATGGACCTCCTCTATACACCGGTCTCCCTGCTCCTCGCAGCTGCACCAAGGGTGAGTGACATCTACCAGTATCCTAGTAGTGTTTGTTTTTTTTTTCTTTGCTTTTCTGTTCTTTCGTGGCTGTGGGTTCTCTTTGTAACTTCCTTTTTCCCCCAGCTCTTGTGTCGTTTCCTTCACATGAGGCTCTCACTCACGCTCTCCTCCAATCCAAACCTGTTTGGTATCTGTTCCTTCTATTCTAACCTGTTCGCACCTCCTTTCTCCCTCTGTCCGCCCTCCCCTGCTGCCACCAGGACGACATGACCTGAGCGAAGGTCAACCGGCCTCTAACCCCGTTGCCCGGGGGAAGGGGGGTAGCGTGTTGGGGGTCCAGACAAATTCCTCCTCTCCTCTCCTGTGCATGTCCCTCCCCTGTCCCACGGCAGGACGACATGAGCGAGGTTCAACCAGCGTCCAGCCCTGTTGCCCGACTAGTTCAAACCTCTTCTTGCTTCCCTCTTTTCTGCCCCCTCTCAGGTGGCAAGTGTTGGCCGTAGGACAAACATCTCCTTCCCTTTCCTCTGTTTACCCACTTCCCTGCTGCCCCCAGGATGACATGAGCGAGTGTCAAGCAGCCTCCAACCCCATTGCCCCTTGCATCTCCAACCCACCAATTGGAGATTGCCTTGGGATACCCCCAATCCCTAGGGATTGCCCCCGATTCCCTTCCCCATCCATTCCCTCCCCTTCTTGGATGTACTTAAAGAGCTTCAAGCTCATTACTAATGCATCGCTTCTAAGCCTAAGTTTTGACACCCATCCCACGGCAGGACGACATGAGCGAGGGTCAAGCAGCCTCCAACCCCGTTGCCCCTTGCATTCTGCAACTCACAGGGGACGAGGGCGCAGGGGGGGGAGGAGGGGAAGTGGGAGGGGGAGGGTGGCAAGTGACGGGGCGGCTGGATCGCAATCAGACGAGTGTGATATCATGCATCAAGGTGGGATGAGGCTGTTCAGGTGACTTTTGAGTCGACTCAAAAGTCAGACGAGTGTGATATCATGCATCAAGGTGGGATGAGGCTGTTCAGGTGACTTTTGAGTCGACTCAAAAGTCAGACGAGTGTGATATCATGCATCAAGGTGGGATGAGGCTGTTCAGGTGACTTTTGAGTCGACTCAAAAGTCAGACGAGTGTGATATCATGCATCAAGGTGGGATGAGGCTGTTCAGGTGACTTTTGAGTCGACTCAAAAGTCAGACGAGTGTGATATCATGCATCAAGGTGGGATGAGGCTGTTCAGGTGACTTTTGAGTCGACTCAAAAGTCAGACGAGTGTGATATCATGCATCAAGGTGGGATGAGGCTGTTCATTGCAGCAGCTACATTGTGCCATCCTCTGATCAACCATGGCATCATCGAATGAACCATGACCTGACATCATCATCCTTTGCCTCTCTTCATCTCTCTTCATTTGTCTTCACCTCTCTCTACCCTCAACAGGCCGCCGGCTCTCCCCCTTCCCTCCCTACCTCCTCTCTTTCTGCATCTCCCTTCATCGCTCTTGTTTTGAGGCGCCTCAAAACTAGATCTCCCTTCATCGCTCTTGTTTTGAGGCGCCTCAAAACTAGATCTCCCTTCAAACATGGCATTCATCACAGCCGAGAGCATGGCTCCATGTATGCACCCAACTCTTTTCCTCTCTCTCTCACCCCCCCCCACCCCCCCCCACACATACACACACATCACCAGGCTATCGGCATTCATCACAGCCGAGAGCATGGCTCCATCCGACGGCTCTTCTCCTCCCTTCCTCCACTCTCTCCTATATCTCTCTTCACCTCTCTCCACCTCTCTCCACCTCTCTCCACCTATCTACCCTCACCAGGCCATCGGCATCCATCCAGACATGGCATTCATCACAGCCGAGAGCATGGCTCCATCCGTACACCTATCTCTTTTCCTCTCACCCCCACCCCACACCCCCACATCCGCACCACCAGGCCATAGGCATTCATCCAGACATGGCATTCATCACAGCCGAGAGCATGGCTCCATCCAACGGCTCTCCTGCCTCCCCTCGCGATCGCATCTGCTGCTACGACCTGGCAGGGGCGCCCTTTTCCAGCCTGCACCCTGTCAGGCAATACACGGAGCACGAGGTGGGTGCAAGATAGAGCGGGTGTGCGTCTTGGTTCCCTCTCCTGCCTCACCTCTGCTGCTACGACCTGGCAGGAGTGCCCTTCTCCAGTCTGCTCGCCTCTTTGCTCACCCCCCTGCTCACCTCCTCACCTTCCTCCTCGCCTTTCTTCTCGCCTTCCTCCTCGCCTTCCTCCTCGCTTTCCTCCTCGCCTTCCTCCTCGCCTTCCTCCTCGCCTTTCTCCTCGCCTTCCTCCTCGCCTTCCTCCTCGCCTTCCTCCTCGCCTTTCTCCTCGCCTTCCTCCTCGCCTTCCTCCTCGCCTTCCTCCTCGCCTTTCTCCTCGCCTTTCTCCTCGCCTTCCTCCTCGCCTTCCTCCTCGCCTTTCTCCTCGCCTTTCCCCTCGCCTTCCTCCTCGCCTTCCTCCTCGCCTTCCTCCTCGCCTTCCTCCTCGCCTTCCTCCTCGCCTTTCTCCTCGCCTTTCTCCTCGCCTTCCTCCTCGCCTTCCACCTCGCCTTTCTCCTCGCCTTTCCCCTCGCCTTCCTCCTCGCTTTCCTCCTCGCCTTTCTCCTCGCCTTCCCCCTCGCCTTCCTCCTCGCCTTCCTCCTCGCCTTCCTCCTCGCCTTCCTCCTCGCCTTCCTCCTCGCCTTTCTCCTCGCCTTTCTCCTCCTCGCCTTCCTCCTCGCCTTCCTCCTCGCCTTCCTCCTCGCATTTCTCCTCGCCTTCCTCCTCGCCTTCTTCCTCGCCTTCTTCCTCGCCTTCCTCCTTGCCTTCCTCCTTGCCTTCCTCCTCGCCTTCCTCCTCGCCTTTCTCCTCGCCTTCCTCCTCGCCTTTCTCCTCGCTTTCCCCTCGCCTTCCTCCGCGCCTTCCTGCTTTCTCTCATCCCGTTGTTCCCTGCTGCGCCCATCACAGGGTCTTATCATGTGTCTCACGGCTTCTCATATTTTCCTCCCCTTTGCCCCTCACAGGACCTGATTACGTGTCTGGCCGTCTTCCCCCCCAACCCCAACCTCTTCCTCTCGCCTCTGCTAAAGCCAGCCCCACTACCAAAACCAAACCCCCTTGACCTCGTTTCCCTTCCTTTCCCCCTTTGCCCATCACAGGACCTGATCACGTGTCTCACAGTCTTCCCCCCCAACCCCAACCTCTTTCTCTCTGCCTCTCGGGACGCCACCATTCGCCTCTGGGACCGCCGCGTTTCCAACGCTGTCGGTACGTGGATGCACCATGTCACCGAATATGCACGGTTGTGCATATAAGGTGCCAGTATGATTAAGGTGTAGAACGGGTGTAGTGATGTGTTGTATTTGGTGTATGCAGCCTCAAGGATAAGTAGGTGGGGGGCTGGGAAATTGACGCGGAGTCGGTAGGAGATCACCAAGGGGTGAAATCCTCGCGACCAATGGGAACAAACCCACCCAGGCCCGAGCCGCACATTGAGAAATGCACGGCTCGAGCCAGGGACAGGTAAGTTCACTCTCACACACACACACAATGCTTTCCGTTTGTTATCCTTTCGTATAGTGGATTCTGGTTACCTCTAGCCTTGCATTTGGTGACACCCACTCAGGGAGGACCGTTGAGGTGAGAGTCTCGTCACTTTCATAACAAACGGAAAGAATTCTGCGTGCGTGCAAGCATGGACGGGTACGACGTGCGTTATGGCCGGACGTATAGTCGGCATGAGCAGGATCGCTCACGGCGCGGACACTCCCGCGAGCGTGGGCGGTCGCTGGAGCGGTCTCCGCGGAGGCCAGATCGATCGCCGCGAAGGCCTGCCTTTCGGGCGGATCAGGTGCCTCTCGGGCATGAACGCCGAGAGGAAGGATCTGCACAAGGAAGAGCCGGCGGATCGGAATCGGCCATGGTGAGGAGTGATCCGTGGCGGACGGAAACGCGCCATGGGGGTGGCGATCTGGGATATCGCCAGGAGACGGGAGCGTATCGCTCGCCGGATGCAAGTTATCGCCGTCGCGAAGATCGGAGGCGCGGGCGAGGCTTGGAAGGACTGTTTTCGGGCCGAGAGGGAGACCTCAACGCTGGCGGAGTAGAAGAAAGCGACGCGGCGGACACCTCGCAGGAGTCCGAGCACGGCGATGCGGCGGAGAACGGCGCCGACGGCCGGAAGGAGGACGGGAGCAAGCAGCGCGACGTGCCTGCAGAAGCAACAGAAGCAGATCTCGCGCAGGCGAGCGTGGCGGCAGAGACAAGCGCGGTGGAGGCGGACGGAACGAGTGGTGCTCGAAACCCGCCGCGCAACGGAGAGGAGCGTGGCAGCGGGAGGCGTAGCAGCAGCTCGCGCTCTCCAGATTTGCGTCAGCAATGCGACGCGGGATGCGGCGACGGCGTGCGCTCGACAGATCACCGGCGCACTTGTGATGGGGGGCGCGGCGACGGCATGCGCTCGCCAGATCCGCGGCGCACTCGTGATGGGGGACGCGGCGATGGTGTGCGCTCGCCAGATCCGCGACGCACTCGTGATGGGGGAAGCGGCGACGGCGTGCGCTCGCCAGATCCGCGGCGCACTCGTGATGGGGGACGCGGCGACGGCGTGCGCTCGCCAGATCCGCGGCGCACTCGTGATGGGGGACGCGGCGACGGCATGCGCTCGACAGGTCTGCGGCGCACTCGTGAAAAGGGACGCGGCGACGGCATGCGCTCGCCAGATCCGTGGCCGCTGCATGAGAGGAGACACGGAAGTGGATACCACTCGCCAGATTCGAGGCAACACCGGGACAGTGGGCGCGGGGGTAGCACGCACTCACTAGATCCGCGGAGAAATCGCGACGGGAGAAGCAGAGGGGATTCGCGCTCGCCAGAGCCTCGTTACTCGCGTGATGAGAGACGCGGAGGAGGCAATCGCTCGCCGGACATGCAACGGTACCATGGAGAGAAGGGGGGAGACAAGGCGCACTCGCCCGACTGGCGCCTGCGTCATGGAGAAAGCCGGGGAGGCAGATATCGCTCACCGCATCGGCAGCAGAGCAGGGATGGGAGGCGCGGTGGTGGGTCTCGATCGCCTGGCCGGTATTGGCAGCACGACGGAAGATGTGCCGGACAGGGAGGGTGGGAGCAACATGGCGATAGAGAAGAAAGCAGTGGGCTGGTGCACAGCCTGGAGCGAGCCAAGGAAGCAAGGGAGGGCCTACAGCGGGCAAAAGGAAGGGGAGCATCAGGGAGATCGGTGGGAGGGCCGAGCGAGGCATGGGGAGAAGGAAGGGGAGGCACGGCCGTGGGCATGAGGGTGGAGGTGCCTACACGCTTCTCAGGAGATCAGCATACGGGGCCCACGCTGAAGAACTACCTCATGCAAGTGGGCAATGTGCGGTACCGATGTGAGAGGAGCGGCATGGACTCAGTAGACTTTTTCCTGAGCCTGCCGAACACACTGGAAGGGGAGGCAGAGACATTGTACAGGATGAAGATGGATGAGCTGTTGGAGAGGGCAGGGAGGTATGGGGAAGACCCCACGGAGGCATTCCTAAGACGGCTGAAACGGCAGTTCCCAGGCCACACCGCGGAGAAGATAAGAGAGTTTCAGGACTTCAGGAAGGGGCGGGGCGAGTCACTACTCACCTACTACAACCGATTGGTTAACCTGGCAGAGGATGTGAGTTGCGCGGACACGGCCCTGCTCGTGAGTAAGTTTCTGGACGGCCTGGAGGGTACTTTGGAAAGCGGGCTGCGGCTGAAAGTGTACGAGAGGGGGGCTGACGTGACGCTTGATGAAGTATTCGAGCTAGCAGAGAAGATGGAGATGGCCCAGAGGAAGCTCGAAGCCTACCGGCAACGCCCAGTGGAGCGAGGCAGAGGACCTACGTGGGCCGCAGCCATGATACCAGAAGAAAAGGAAAGAGGAGGGGGAAGAGGGGATAACAGGACTGACACACGGACGTGCCACCGATGCGGGCAGCCAGGGCACTTGCGCAGAGACTGCAAGAACTGCGACTCCTGTGGTAAGCCCGGACACCGGCGGCGGGAATGCCCAACGGCGCCAAAGTGTGACATCTGTGGGAAGGGAGGGCATGCAACGAGGGAGTGTTATCAGCGGGAGGGAGCAGCGAGGAGGACACCAGAGGACCTGGAAAGGCAGATTGGCAAGCTACAGGCTCAGCTGCAGGCAATGGGACCACGACGCGAGGCAGAAGCGGGGATGTACGCTAAGAAAGAAAAGGAGGAGGATGTAGAGCAGGATGAAGAAGCTGCATTCATGAGCTGGGCAGGAAGAGCAGAGGATGAGGTGGAACACGAGGAGCAGCCAGCATACATGGCATGGAGAGGAAGGGAGGAGATGGGGCTGCGCAGCGGGGGAAGGGATGCACGGAAGGAGCAGGTGAGGAAGGAACGAGAGAAAGGACAGAAACCGGAAGCGAAAGAAGAGAGGTGCACAGCAGCACGGCACCCTCAGGAGCGGCTGGCGTGCCAGACTTCCGTGCTGCTGATACAAGGAGGCGCGCTGTCGGTGGAAGGGGAGAAGGCCAAGACGGCTATCATAGACACTGGCGCGCAGAGCGTGATATTAGGGAAGGGGATGGCCGAGAAGCTGGGACTGGGGGCACCGGACAGACATGTAGTGAAGGGGATGCTGGTGATGACAGCAGAGGGAGGAGAGTCAAAGTGGATGCCATGTACAAGGACTCCAATTGAACTGACGGTGCTCAAAGGAGAGAAGCACGAAACGCCGGTCAGGATCAGGTGCGGGATCTCAGAATCTGAAGATTTCGACGTTTTGGTGGGCACGGAGATGATCTTTGCACTGGGCATGACCATCTGCTTCTGGAGGGAGACGGTGGAATTCAGGACCAGGTGGTGGAGGAAGGATGAGCCACTGGGACAGCTGCCGGTGCAGTTCGTCAAGACAGAGCCGAAGCGGGCCTACAGGGCGGATCTGAAGGAAATGACAGCGAAGCAGGGGGCACAGGAGAGCACGACAAGCAAGGGACAGGGCAGAGAGCTGAGGATGCGCTTCATGGACGAGCCTAGCCAGCAGACTGATTGGCAGCAACCTATCCGCCTGGTGGAACTATTTGGGGGTATAGGGGCGGGGTTGGCAGCAGTGGTGCGGAACGGGATCGCAGTGAAGCAGTGGATTTACGTAGAGAAGGCGGCAGAAGCAAGGAAAATGGCGGAGCATCACGCATGGCAGCTGCACCGCGAGTTCCCGGAGCTGTTGAAGGAAGAAGTGATCAAGGCAGCAATGAGTAGAGGAGTGCACGATGTACGGGCCATCACAGAGGCTGAGGTGGCGAGCTGGGGGCACGTGGACCTGTTGGTGGCGGGATGGGAATGCCAAGGGGTATCATGGGCAGGGAAGGGCAAGGGTGAGCAAGACCTGCGGACACAACTGATGGAGGACTTGTTCAAAATTCTGGAGTGGCTGCAGGCTCGACAAAGCAGGGTGGCCTACCTGCTGGAGCATTTAGACATGGAAGGAGATGTGCGCGAGCCCATACGAGTAGTAAGGGAGCGAGTGACCAGACAGGTGGGAAAGGGAGTGAGCTGCGACGCGACACGGATGGGAGCTTACGCACACAGGCTCAGGATGTACTGGCAGAATGTGGTGCCAGCGGAAGACCTGCAGAAGGAGATAGAGGGGGTACGGAGAGCAGGGGGGCGGAAGCTGAGCGATATACTGGAACCTGGGCGAACGCCAGCACCAGTGAATAAGAAGAGCTACAGCCGACATTATCCGTGCAATCAAGTGGGGCAGGAGAGGCAAGCACTGCCTACGCTAGTGTCATATGAGGGGGCAGCAGGGTACCAGATGGATGGGAAGCAGCCAGGCCCAGGACTAGTGCTCGACCACGGGAAGGGAAGATGGGAGGAGCCCACGGCCCTGGAGAGGGAGCTGGCTATGGGGTACAAGGAGAACGCTACAGCAGCCCCTGGCGTCACTGAACAGGAACGGAGGCGGGCAATGGGGAACGCAATGGATGGGTACGTGATGAGGTGGTTGGTGCAGCGGATGTGGAGAGAGACAGTGCTGCGCTGGGGACTGAAGGAGGGAGAGAACACAGTAGCAACGGTGAGGCAGGGGGCATGGGCCTGCCTGCCGAAAGCAGAGCATGAGTGGAAGATAGGTGAGAGCATGAGTGAGGGAGGGAAGGCAGCCATGCTGGCACTGCTGGTTAAGCACAGGAGGGGCTTCGCTTTCACCCTGCAGGAGTTGGGGAAGTGCAAGATCAAGGAGATGGCATTGAAGCTGAGCAGCGATGAGCCGGTGTTCCACCGCCGAAGAAAGATGCCGCCTGGGGATGAGGCGATCTGCAGGGAGAAAATAAAGGAGTTACTGGAAGCTGGATTGATCAGAAGGTCAGAGTCAGAGTACGCGACCCCGACGGTAGTGGCAGCCAGGAAGGATTTGACAGGAGAGGTGCTGAGCCGCAGGATGTGCGGCGATTACAGAGATCTTAATAAGATCACCGTGCCGGACAGGTACCCCATGCCGATGGCGGAGGAGCTCTTTGACAAGATGGCCGACGGGGTGTACTTCACGACGCTGGACCTGCGCCAGGGATTCAATCAAATAAAAATCAGGGAAGAAGATGTGAAGAAGACAGCCTTCCACGGACCGGACGGGCTGTACGAGTGGCTATACATGCCCTTCGGCCTACGGAACGCCTCGGCGGTGTTTCAACGAGTCATGGACGCGGTGCTGCGGGGAATTGAACATGCAGCATGCTACATCGATGATGTAGTCATCTTCAGCTTGACCGAGCAGCAGTATCTGGAGGACGTGGAGAGGACCCTGAGTGCAATAGAGGAGGCAGGGCTCACATGCCATCCCAACAAATGCAGGTGGGGGGAACGGACGGTGCAGTACCTGGGGTATGAGGTGACAGGGGGACAGATCGGGATCCAGCAAGCAAAGGTACAGGTGCTGGACAGGCTGAGGGAACCTAGAGACAAGTCAGGGCTGCGCGCGGTCTTGGGCTTCCTCAGCTACTACAGGCGCTTTGTGCCTAACTTCAGTAAGAGGGCGGCGGTGCTGAATGGGATACTGCGTGAGGACAAGGTATGGGAGTGGGGAGAGCAGCAGAGGGTAGCACTCCAAGACCTCATGACAGCCGTAAAGACGGCGACAGTGCTACGGCTGCCAGCAGCAGACCAACCTTTCGTCCTCTACACCGATTGGAGCAGCCAGGGGATGGGGGCAATACTGTGCCAGGGGGTGGAGGGAGTGGAGAAGGTGGTAGCCTACGCCAGCAGGAGCTGCAACCCCGCAGAGGCACAGTATAGCTCATACATAGGGGAGGGACTGGCGGCAGTGTGGGCAGTTGGGCACTTCAGGGTGTACCTGCAGGGCCGCGAGTTCACCTTGGTCACTGATCATCAGCCCCTCACGTGGCTGGTGACCACACCAGGGCTGACGGGAAGGAACGCCAGGTGGGCCGTGAAGCTGCAGGAATATGATTTCCAGATCAGGCACAGGCCGGGGAAGACGCTGCAGCACGTAGACGGTCTCTCCCGTAATCCACCACTGCTGGAAACAGGACAAGGAACACAGGGGACGGAGGGGACAGAGCAGGAGCCAGCGCACACCCTGATCATGCTGGCGAGAGAAGTGGAACAAGTCGGTGCCAAGGGGAGTAAGGGGCCAGCGGACATATGGCAGGATGAGAAGGCGATGAAGTGGGTGAGGGGAGAAACAGAGGAAGACGAGGCAGTGTCTGACAGAGTGAGAGCACGAGGACACCACTACAGGTGGTACCAGCAGCAGCTGCAGGTCAAGACAGAGGACGGTTGGAAGCTGGTGCCAGCGCCACAGGACCGTGAAGCAATAATCAAAGAGGTACACACTAAGCTGGGACACTTCGGACATGAGAGGACCGTACATCTGCTGAAGACGGGCTGGTGGTGGGAAGGGATGCGCAGACAGGTGAAAGAGTGGGTAGAGGGGTGTGAGGCATGTCAGAGGAGCAAAGCCAACCTGACGCAGGCCAAAGCAGAGCTGACCTCACTGCCAATCTGCGGGCTAGGGTTCCGATGGTCCTTAGACCTGGCGGGGGAGCTGCCCCTAAGCAGGAGTGGGAACCAGTACATCGTGTTCATGGTGGAGCATGTGAGCAAGTGGCTGGAGGTGAGAGCCATCCCCAGCAAGAGCTCAAGGCACATTGCAGCAGCTTTCAAGGCACAGGTCGTGTGTAGGTTTGGGGCATGTGGGGAGGTGCTTACAGACCAGGGAACGGAGTTCCAGGGGGAGTTCAAGAAGTTGCTGGCGGAGTCGGGCATCACCCATCGGAAGACCTCTCGCTACCACCCGCAGAGCGACGGGCTGACTGAGCGAGCAGTGCAGACCTTCAAGCGAGGGCTCCGGGCCTATGGGGAGCAGCGGAAGAGGGACTGGGATGAGGAGCTGGACTGGATCGCAGCAGGGTATAGATTCGGGAAGCAGGCAGCATTGAAGGATCATTCCCCATACAGCCTGCTATACGGACGGGACCCAATCCTGCCTGTGGGGGCACCACGGGTGCTGACAGACACAGTGACAGCGGGCACAATCAAGAACTGGGTAGCCCTGTCCGAGGTGAGGGCGCGGTACATGCGTTACATGATGCCAGCCGCGCTGGAGAACCTGCGCACCGCACAGCTCAGAGATGCCAGGCGATATGAACAAAGGCAGCAAAAGGGGGAGGGCCGAGCGGCAAGGGCCATCAGCGAAGGACAGGAAGTGTATCTGAAGAAGGCCAAGCAGGACACCCTAGATGTGGGATTGGGGACAGTGCGCTGGAAAGTCAAGGAGGTGCGCCCATCAGGAGTGCTGGTCTTGGAAAATGACGCGGGGGCGCAGCTGCGGGAACATCAGACGAACACGGCAGTGATAAGGGGAACAGGGCCTCAGCGTACTGGTCCTGTGACCCGCGCTCAAGCTGCTCGAGCACGGGCACAGGAGGGGGCAGAGAGTGGCTGAGGCAATAGAGGGAACGAAGGAGAGACAGAGCAGGAGAATCAAGGCAAAGAAGAGTGCAGCCGCAACTCCGACAGCTGTCACCGAATATGCACGGTTGTGCATATAAGGTGCCAGTATGATTAAGGTGTAGGACGGGTGTAGTGATGTGTTGTATTTGGTGTATGCAGCCTCAAGGATAAGTAGGTGGGGGGCTGGGAAATTGACGCGGAGTCGGTAGGAGATCACCAAGGGGTGAAATCCTCGCGACCAATGGGAACAAACCCACCCAGGCCCGAGCCGCACATTGAGAAATGCACGGCTCGAGCCAGGGACAGGTAAGTTCACTCTCACACACACACACAATGCTTTCGTTTGTTATCCTTTCGTATAGTGGATTCTGGTTACCTCTAGCCTTGCGTTTGGTGACACCCACTCAGGGAGGACCGTTGAGGTGAGAGTCTCGTCACTTTCATTGAGAGTGGCTGAGGCAATAGAGGGAACGAAGGAGAGACAGAGCAGGAGAATCAAGGCAAAGAAGAGTGCAGCCGCAACTCCGACAACCACCCTTAGATTCACCCTAGTCGCATTTATTCACCCACTAATTGCCCACGAAATGGTTCCACCTTATCACTATCCTCTCTCTTCCCACTTCCTCCCTGCTCTCCCCCTCCCTGCTGTTTCCCCCCATACTCCTCCTCTCCCCCTCCCTGCTGTTTCCCCCCATACTCCTCCTCTCCCCCTCCCTGCTGTTTCCCCCCATACTCCTCCTCTCCCCCTCCCTGCTCTTTCCCCCCATACTCCTCCTCTCCCCCTCCCTGCTCTTTCCCCCCATACTCCTCCTCTCCTCCTCCCTGCTCTTTCCCCCCATACTCCTCCTCTCCTCCTCCCTGCTCTTTCCCCCCATACTCCTCCTCTCCCCCTCCCTGCTCTTTCCCCCCATACTCCTCCTCTCCTCCTCCCTGCTCTTTCCCCCCATACTCCTCCTCTCCTCCTCCCTGCTCTTTCCCCCCATACTCCTCCTCTCCTCCTCCCTGCTCTTTCCCCCCATACTCCTCCTCTCCCCCTCCCTGCTCTTTCCCCCCATACTCCTCCTCTCCTCCTCCCTGCTCTTTCCCCCCATACTCCTCCTCTCCCCCTCCCTGCTCTTTCCCCCCTTACTCCTCCTCTCCCCCTCCCTGCTCTTTCCCCCCATACTCCTCCTCTCCCCCTCCCTGCTCTTTCCCCCCATACTCCTCCTCTCCTCCTCCCTGCTCTTTCTCCCCATACTCCTCCTCTCCTCCTCCCTGCTCTTTCCCCCCATACTCCTCCTCTCCCCCTCCCTGCTCTTTCCCCCCATACTCCTCCTCTCCCCCTCCCTGCTCTTTCCCCCCATACTCCTCCTCTCCCCCTCCCTGCTCTTTCCCCCCATACTCCTCTCCCCCTCCCTGCTCTTTCCCCCCATACTCCTCCTCTCCCCCTCCCTGCTCTTTCCCCCCATACTCCTCCTCTCCTCCTCCCTGCTCTTTCCCCCCATACTCCTCCTCTCCTCCTCCCTGCTCTTTCCCCCCATACTCCTCCTCTCCTCCTCCCTGCTCTTTCCCCCCATACTCCTCCTCTCCTCCTCCCTGCTCTTTCCCCCCATACTCCTCCTCTCCCCCTCCCTGCTCTTTCCCCCCATACTCCTCCTCTCCCCCTCCCTGCTCTTTCCCCCCATACTCCTCCTCTCCCCCTCCCTGCTCTTTCCCCCCATACTCCTCCTCTCCCCCTCCCTGCTCTTTCCCCCCATACTCCTCCTCTCCTCCTCCCTGCTCTTTCCCCCCATACTCCTCCTCTCCTCCTCCCTGCTCTTTCCCCCCATACTCCTCCTCTCCCCCTCCCTGCTCTTTCCCCCCATACTCCTCCTCTCCTCCTCCCTGCTCTTTCCCCCCATACTCCTCCTCTCCTCCTCCCTGCTCTTTCCCCCCATACTCCTCCTCTCCTCCTCCCTGCTCTTTCCCCCCATACTCCTCCTCTCCCCCTCCCTGCTCTTTCCCCCCATACTCCTCCTCTCCTCCTCCCTGCTCTTTCCCCCCATACTCCTCCTCTCCCCCTCCCTGCTCTTTCCCCCCTTACTCCTCCTCTCCCCCTCCCTGCTCTTTCCCCCCATACTCCTCCTCTCCCCCTCCCTGCTCTTTCCCCCCATACTCCTCCTCTCCTCCTCCCTGCTCTTTCTCCCCATACTCCTCCTCTCCTCCTCCCTGCTCTTTCCCCCCATACTCCTCCTCTCCCCCTCCCTGCTCTTTCCCCCCATACTCCTCCTCTCCCCCTCCCTGCTCTTTCCCCCCATACTCCTCCTCTCCCCCTCCCTGCTCTTTCCCCCCATACTCCTCTCCCCCTCCCTGCTCTTTCCCCCCATACTCCTCCTCTCCCCCTCCCTGCTCTTTCCCCCCATACTCCTCCTCTCCTCCTCCCTGCTCTTTCCCCCCATACTCCTCCTCTCCTCCTCCCTGCTCTTTCCCCCCATACTCCTCCTCTCCTCCTCCCTGCTCTTTCCCCCCATACTCCTCCTCTCCTCCTCCCTGCTCTTTCCCCCCATACTCCTCCTCTCCCCCTCCCTGCTCTTTCCCCCCATACTCCTCCTCTCCCCCTCCCTGCTCTTTCCCCCCATACTCCTCCTCTCCCCCTCCCTGCTCTTTCCCCCCATACTCCTCCTCTCCCCCTCCCTGCTCTTTCCCCCCATACTCCTCCTCTCCCCCTCCCTGCTCTTTCCCCCCATACTCCTCCTCTCCCCCTCCCTGCTCTTTCCCCCCATACTCCTCCTCTCCCCCTCCCTGCTCTTTCCCCCCATACTCCTCCTCTCCCCCTCCCTGCTCTTTCCCCCCATACTCCTCCTCTCCTCCTCCCTGCTCTTTCCCCCCATACTCCTCCTCTCCCCCTCCCTGCTCTTTCCCCCCATACTCCTCCTCTCCTCCTCCCTGCTCTTTCCCCCCATACTCCTCCTCTCCCCCTCCCTGCTCTCTCCCCCCATACTCCTCCTCTCCTCCTCCCGCCCCCAGCTCTGATTGGCTCCCCATCTCCCTCGGGCCGCCCCCAGGCCCATGCGGGCATGGTAACCGCATTGGACGCATGCCCTGCATCTGTTACAATCGCATCAGGAGGCATGGACGGTTACCTGAAGCTCTGGGACCTGCGCTCCCTGCACTCCCTCGGGAACTCCCCGCCGCTTGGTTCGCTGAACCCGGACGAATCCCCGATTCTGAAGCTGGCCAGTAGCATGCTGCCAGGTGTCGTCGCTGTGAGCACTGTGCGGGGGCTTTACTTGGCTGATTTGAGCGGCAGTGTGGGGCCGAGTGGAGGGGGCGGTGCCAGGCTGGCAGGGGGGTTCCAGGATGGGCGGCAGCCCGGGCGGTATCATGATATCAAGTGGGCACATGGACGGCGGCTGCTGTTTGCTGGTGGGGATGCAATGCGGGTGGATGTGTATGGGTTGCAATGATGTTTGTGGTGGCACATTGATTAGAGGAGCTGCTGTTATGTTTTCAGTGTTGACACACCATTTGGAGCAAATAGCCAAGAAATGTGAGTTGTAAAAAACCTTCGGTAGGTCTCTTAGCTAATGATGAGTACAGTAGCATCCTATCATCCTATCTGAGATTAAAAAACATTCGGTTGGTCTCTTAGGGTGCGTAACTTTTTCGCTTTTCATCGTCCGGACGGAGGCCCCGTCCGGACTTTTGTAGGGCTACTATATTCGTCAGGGTTCGTCTAAAAGTTCGCAAGTCCTCCCGCGACGTCGCGATCGTCCGTACTAAGTCTGACACTTTTCTGTCAGTTCATCATCCGTTCTACGCTACTGACACCGTCCGGACAGCATTTCGGACCGTCCGGAACCCCTGCAACTTCATTGGTGCGCGAGACACATTTTTCAGAATCAAATTTCCCACTCCAACTTTCAATTTGTTTGTGTGTTGTACTCACAGAAGCGCGAGCAAGAGGACTTAGTGGTTGGAAAGTTCAAACATTACCGAGCCGCAAATGCATGCTTGCGAACTGAGCGATGTGCTGGCGAGGTGAGTTATGCTCGTAACTGTTGCGTACGAATTTCAAATTTAGAAACTGCAAAAAAGTCTCACAATTGTGGTACGGACGCTTCATCGTCCGAACCACATTCCCAACCGTCCGGACGGAGCTCCGTTCGGACGTTTTGGGGGCTCCATCCGGACATTGGTCTAACATGGAAAAAGTTACGCGCCCTTAGCTCATGATGAGTACACTTCCACATCCTTGTGCCTAGCATGACCATGATGCATTTCTACCAGCACAAGTTAAATTTTAAAGCACTGTACGGATCATTAGCAATGTTGACTTTGCATATCTTGACAAGCCTCATAAATCACATGTTAGCATCAGCGTGGTACACCAGTTCCTGGTTGGGGGACGCTGAATACTTCATCAAACACCATGATTCCTACAAAATTGGGGGAGTTACGGTACAGCTGAGCTGCTGTAACACCTGCACATGAAAAAGCTGGTCCCATATGACAGGAGGAGCTGTACACTGAAAATGAAAAGACGGGCTCAACCAGGAAGGGAAAATCTGGATGGCCCTGCCTCAAAATTGGTTGACCATGGCCGGTTTAGCCAAGGAAGACTCTTACTGCTGCTGAATCCCCTTAGCAATCCGGTCAAGCTCGGTCAAAATTTCGCTGAACTCTGGTCTTTCCTTGGGCGTCTTGTCCCAGCACCTTTGAATCAGCGAGCGAAGCGATTCCGGTAGCGATTCCGGAATAGTCGGACGCGCTCCGTTAAGAGCAACAGCCACAGCAGCTTGTAGCGGGGAATAATCAGCAAACGGCACTCCCCCTGTTAAAACTTCCCACAGAACGATTCCGAAACTGTAGACGTCGGCTTTGTGGGTGACCGGCCATGGACTCGTGCCAAAGGCTTCAGGCGCCATCCATCTGTAAGTTCCGACTTCCTTGGTCATCTCCCCTCGCTCTCCTTTTAGTCTAGCCACGCCGAAATCTCCCACCACTGCGTGACCCTCCTTATCTAAGAGAATATTCGCCGATTTCAGATCGCGGTGAATCATTCCGTTCGTGTGAAGAAACGCCATGGCTTGTGCGACGTCGCGCGCGACGTTCACTGCATCGTTGAGTGACAAACTTTTGCCCTGGCGTCGCCTGAGCAGGTCGTTCAGAGTCCCCCCCTCCATGAACTTTGTAACAATGCAGATCCGTTGCCGAAAGTCGATGCAGACACCGAGGAACTTCAAAAGCTGCGGACACTGGCCGCAAGACATTAGGGTTACCACCTCCCGGCGAAACTCCGCGACATTCGCGTACGGGTCTTTACCCTCCCCTTTCAGCACTTTAACAGCGACCGTTTCTCCGTCGTACGTCCCCTTCCTGACTTCGCCTGACGCTCCGACAGCAATCACCGGTCCCATGGACAGACGAAGCGGGTCAAGAATAAAGTTACCAAGCTTCTTCTTCATCGCTCCCTTCTCGCACAGCAGCACTTCCAGCATATCCTTTCCGGACTGCGAACCCTGCTTGGAAGTGAAGCTCGGAGAAGGTGACGAAGGGACGGAGCCCAAATTGGACCTCTGACTGTTGTCTCCATCGACGAAGCTGCTGTATCTCGGACTCGCCTTGCTCATGAAATTGGACAGTGTTTCCTGGATTCCGAGGCCTTTGGGAGGTCTTTTGATAGCCGACGCAAGAACATCCTCAATCTGCTTCTTCGAGACGTGAGAAATGGACGCTCGGATGTAGAAATGACCGAGAGTTGCACCCGCGGCTGTGTCATACGTGTAAATTCCGAAAACTCGGATGCCAGATCTGTGAAACGTCGAGGAGATGTTGCTGCGACAGACATGGGTGCTGCATGCGAACGTGACCTCGGTCCGGCTGGACGATAACGAATCCTCGAGGCACGACGAGAGCGAAATACCGCCGGCCGATGAGAAGGAATCATCCGTTTCGCTCTCGTCCTCCATGAAAGCGTCAAGCTCGCCGTTGTTCACGTCCAATCGAATTGCCGGTATTCCCTCCTTCAGGCCTGATGCTTCTTTAAGCAGACCCATGTGGCTCCTCACTGCGTCGGAAGAGTAACCCATGGCTGCGTACCTGCCAGAAACGAACATAGGGAGAGATGGAAAAGTACGTTGATTAGCAGGGAATAAACGAAACAAACAAACAATCACCTACAGGACTATGACATGAACTACAGCAGATCGTGGATCGTGGAAGCAAGCACTTGTAACCTAAGACGTACCGAGGGGGGAGGGACTTGAAGTGGATCCTCAGCTGCTCTTCATCGTCCTTGCTCCAACTACTGCCGTTCAAAAGCTCGTTAATCGCTGTCTCTACCCTGCCTTCCGGCATCTCAGAACCAGGAGGAGACAGAGGGATTGCAGCTGACTTCTTGAATAACCGCGAGATCGTTAAAGCGAGAGGGTTGCTCTTCTTCTTCGCTGGTGGTGGCATTGTACTTCTAGGCGAGTTTAGTGGACTGGTCTTAATAATAGCCTGATCTTCGTTTTGTACCAACTTGGAACATGTTGGACAATTACTACCAATCCAGGAGGCCTTATGGGAGGGAGATGGCGAAAAGCGTAGAGGCGACATGCCGACCATGATTTTAGATAAAGCGCAACCACGTGGTATTATCGCCTGATGGATTTTTAGGCACGTGAAATGATATTTCTGACTGCCGAAAGGGCGTTAGGCCTAACGACAAACACATTTGGTCGTAAGAACATAACACCTCCTAGAGAACGGAATCGCCAGAGCAGCCTTTCAAGGATCGGTTAGAGAGGGAGGCAATTAATGACGCAGGGATGGGAGGGACAGAATCAAGGGAAGTAGGAGAAGTTGGCTCTCCCAAGGCAAGTTGCTGTCACAAGTCCGAGGGGTCCAGCAGTCGAGGAGTAGGAAATCTTAGATTCTCTGAGAGGCTTGTTAGGATAGCTCTACATGCGTTGCTTGTGCCTGTAACGGAAAAGGGGTTCAGGAGAAAGAGGGTTTGTGCGATCGGTGAAAGTGACTGGGCAATGTCCTGAGAATGGATTGGGTGACAGTTGTGAGGGTGTGTGTGACTCACCATTCTGCGCAATGGTGCTCGCGGTGTGGAGTCCGAGTTGGGCTGGGTGGGTGGGGCTGGCTGGGTAGAAAAATACCCCAGCTCCCGCGGCAACTTGAGAGTGAGGGGCAGGGGGAAGGGCGTTGGGGGAAGGAGGGACGGAAAAGCGGAGGGGAGGGAAATTTTGGGTTGAGGGCGTGTGACGAAGGCGGCGGAGGTTGCGTGCGTGAGGAACAGACTCCGCCTGGAACAGGAGGCTGGCTGGAGCACATGGATAGCTAGGGTTTTGGTGTATCCCTGATTCTCTGTCCCTTCTTTCCCAAGTTGTTCTTTCGGCCAACAGAAGGCTATCGTGGAGGTGGATTAAAGCGCACGACAATCGCGAAGAGCCACAAAGCACGTGCAAGCCAGCATGGCTAACGAGGGACCAAACCAGAGGTCGCGGATGCCACGCTGGAAGGTTCAGGTACCCATGTCACATTCGTGAAGCTCACATCAGCGAGACCCTTTCAACTCCCGCTATAGCCGTGATTCGTGGATTCTCTGATTTGCGCCAAGTCAACAAGAGGAATAAGCGCGTCAAGCTGTCCCGCTGGTTACGTCACGTGGACTGGCGAAACGCGTGAACAGGTCAGCAGAAGGGATTTGCGAATGATTCCCTCGAACCAGGCTGTCTGCCATACTCATCAATAATAAAATCTAGGGATGGTGTTGGCATCATGATTTATTGCACACCAGAATTGAAATTCAGTGGCGCGCATGTGGCTCCATAATCTAGGGTGAAATATGTCAAGCTGCAGCCTTCTTATTCGTTCAAGTATGACCACGTGTATAAGGCGATAAGGTTGCACGTGGTACTTCTGACGACCCAGCCATAACTAGTGTGCTTTATGATTTGCCCGAAACATACGCTGATTGTTACGAGTGCAATTGAGTGAACGAACGAGAATTGCACTATCGAAGCAAAAGAGTACAATGAGCGAAGGCATGAGCGAAGGATTATATAGCGAAACAATAGTGGTAACGGTAATGGACTGTGGTTGTCGCGCGACGAGCCTGGGGCTGAGGTTGGGAAAATGTCGAAGCGTAGGCCCGGAGCACGGGTTACCAGCCGAGCCGTGAGGTCGGGATGCGATGTGCGAAGAGGGCGGGATAATGAATGATGCGATGGTCGTGAGTGGTAACGGTGCTGACTGAGGTGCTACAGTGACGTACGCGTTGAGCAGGGACGCGAGGTAAGGAAAAGGGAATTTTCCTTACACTACCCCCCTCCCCAAGGAGGCCCCTCTTACGAGAGCGCGTGGACGTCGCGGAAATTTCGGCTTCGCAGATACTCGGGGAAGACAGGGTGGTTCTCAATTTTATCCAGGGGGACCCAGTTGTCTTCTGTGGGCGTTCGGTCCTTCCAGCGAATTAGGAACTCTATCCTTCGGGCTCCCCGAGGGTCGCGGACTCGGTGGCTGAGGATTTTTTCAGGGGTGATGAGTGGTTCGGTTGGGGGACGTGTCATGCTGGCTGGGCGATTTCGTGGCAGTTGGCTCGTGGATGGGATGTAAGGGCGAAGTAGGCTGACGTGGAATGACGGGCTGACGTACCAGTCAGCAGGGAGGAGGAGGTGGGCGGTGACGGGTGTGATCATGTGGCTGATGCGGAATGGCCCACAATACCGGGGGCGAAGTTTTGGAGTGATGGGCAGGCGAAGATTCTGGGTGTCGAGTAATACGAGGTCGTCGGGCTGATAAGTAACGGGTCTGCGATGTCGATCGGCGTTACGTTTAGCGATGATGTTTGATTTTTTGATTGCTTCTGCTGCCCTGGTCCGTGCTGCTTGCAAAATCTCGGCGAACTGTTGTGCTCGTGGGACTGGGTTGTCGGGATTCGGTGTCATGGGTACTGTTGGGTCCTGTCCGTAATTCAAATAAAACGGCGACTGTTGCGTCGTGGCTGATGGTGCGTTATTGTATGCGAACTCGATAAGTGGCAGCTGCTGTTCCCACGTATTCGGGTCGTCGCACGTGGCTCGAATCAGCTGCTCCATGGTCTGATTTGTCCGTTCCGTCTGTCCGTCGGTTTCGGGGTGATAGGATGAACTGAACTGTAAGCGCGTGCCGAACTGCTGCCACAGGTTCCGCCAGAAGTTGCTGGTAAATTTCGTGTCCCTGTCGCTGATGATCGACGCGGGTATCCCGTGCAGTCGTACTACGGTGGAGATGAATAGTCGGGCGGTTTCTTCGGCTGTGATGGATTTCCTGCATGCTGCGAAATGAGCCATTTTCGTTAGTCGATCGACGACGACCAGGATCGCGTCATTCCCACTCGCCCCAGCTGGTAACCCTGTGACGAAGTCCATCGTCACCTGCTGCCAAGCACGCTCTGGAGGCGGGATGGGTTGTAATTGCCCCGCTGGTCGCTTCCTGCTTGACTTCATGAGCTGGCAAGTGGGACACGATGCCACGTGTCGTTGCACATCGGTCAACATTTCTGGCCAGTAGTAGTACCGCTGCAGCTGCTGCCGTGTTTTTTCTACCCCGAAATGTCCCGAGGTAACTCCGTCGTGTGCTTCCTGTAACAGTAGTTCCCGCAGTAGCGTGTATCCCGGTACCCAGATGCGGTCGGTTCCAGTTTTTACGTAATAGACTCCTTTTGCCGCTGCGAATTGCTGTGAGTTGCCTCCTGTAAAGAACGGGTCTGTTTGATATCCGTGGGTAAATAGGCCGGTAAGCAGTGGGCTGGTCTGGGCGAGTAGTATCGCGTGGATCTGGGCAGTGGGGCGGGTCAGTGCGTCGGCGATATTCGATGCTCCTTTTTTGTATGTGACCGTATAGTGAAAATTCGACTCGAGGAAATCGAGCCATCGAATCTGTCGTGGGTTGAGGTGGGGCTGTGCGCGGAGGTACTGTAGAGATCGGTGGTCTGTCCGTACTGTCACGTCTGCGCCAGTTAAGTAGCAGCGCCAAACTTTGAATGCATGCACGATCGCGAGCATTTCGCGGTCGTGTATCGGGTAATTTCGCTCAGGCGGATGTAGTTTGCGTGATTCGTAGGCGATGGGTTGGAGGCCGTTGCCGAAGTCCTGTAACAGTACAGCTCCGATGGCGATGTCACTTGCGTCGGTAACCACTTCGAAAGGGCGGTGGGGATCAGCGATACGTAGAACGGGTGGTGAACAGAGGACGTGTTTTAGGGCAGAGAAGGCAGCATGCTCTTTCTCCCCCCACGTAAAAGCGACCCCCTTACGCAGTAAATCAGTTAGTGGGGCTGTTAAACGTGCCATGTCGGGCACGAACCGTCGAACGTAATTAACAAACCCTAAAAAACTCTGCAGTTCCGTGATGTTTGTCGGGGGGCGCCACGCTTTTACCGTATCCAGCTTCTTTGGGTCGATCTCAACCCCAGCCTCGGAAATGACGTGACCTAAAAACTCTAGCCTATCCCTAAAAAACTCGCACTTGGAGCCCTTGGTGAGCAGCCGATGTTCCTCTAAAATCTTAAAAACTGCTTCAAGATCTGCTAAGTGTTGCTGCTTATCCCGACTGTAAACGAGGATATCGTCGAGGTAAACGATCACGCATTTATCTAAAAGTGGTCTAAACGCCTCGTTCATGGTCATCTGAAAAGTCGCAGGCGCGTTCGTCAACCCGAAAGGCATTACGGTATACTCGAATGACCCGTACCTAGTCCTAAATGCTGTTTTTGCGCAGTCCGATGGTTCGACCCGAATCTGATGGTAACCTCCCCGTAAATCTATTTTCGAAAAGACACGTGCTGTTCGCAGTTGGTCAATCAGTTCGTCGGCGCGGGGGATGGGGTATCGCGATTTGACTGTTACTCGGTTAAGCGCTCGGTAGTCGATGCACATGCGAAAACCTCCGTCTTTTTTCGGTGTGAACAGTATGGGTGCGGCGAACGGTGACGAGCTTGGGCGAATAAACTGCTTCTCTAACAGGTAATCTAACTGCTTCCTTAACTCGTCGAGCTCGGGCTGTGTCAGTCGAAATTGCC